TGCCCGCTGGGTCGCCCCGCGGAACCGCGGCGCTGGGTTTGGGCAGAACGGAGTGGACGGGAATGGAGTGGGACAGGCTCAGGCCAGTTCTGGTTCTGCTCCCTCCGAGCCACACCCTGTCTTGGAGAAGTTGAGATCCATCAACAACTACAACCCCAAGGATTTTGACTGGAACCCAAAGCACGGGAGGGTGTTCATCATTAAGAGTTACTCTGAGGACGATATCCACCGTTCCATTAAGTACAACATCTGGTGCAGTACAGAGCATGGGAACAAGAGACTGGACGCAGCCTATCGCTCCATGAACGGAAAGGGCCCTGTATACTTACTGTTCAGTGTCAACGGTAGTGGTCACTTCTGCGGCGTAGCAGAAATGAAATCTGCTGTGGACTATAACACCTGTGCAGGTGTGTGGTCCCAGGACAAGTGGAAGGGACGTTTTGATGTCAGGTGGATTTTTGTGAAGGACGTTCCCAACAGCCAGCTGCGGCACATCCGCCTAGAGAACAACGAGAATAAACCAGTGACCAACTCCAGGGACACTCAGGAGGTGCCTCTGGAAAAGGCTAAGCAGGTGTTGAAAATCATTGCCACCTACAAGCACACCACCTCCATCTTTGATGACTTCTCACACTACGAGAAACGCCAAGAGGAGGAGGAAAATGTTAAAAAGGTAATGTGTGTGTGTGTGTGTGTGTCTTGGCTGAGTCCTGCAGGGCAGGAGGTGGAGGAGGGCTGCCTTGAGCTGGGTGAAATGCAGGTTGTGGAGGTGTGAGCAGGCTTGGTGGGCATCATCCTGCCTCTTGGCTAGCTGCCTGCTCACACCTGCCACCCAAGTGGTAGCCTCTGTTTGGGGTGGAGATGCCCAGAGGAGGCCACCAAGGTGATTAGAGGGATGGAGCAGCTCTGCTATGAGGAGAGGCTGAGAGAACTGGGATTGTTCAGCCTGGAGAAGGCTTTGGGGTGACCTAATTGTGGCCTTCCAGTCCCTGAAAAGGGCCTGCAGGAAAGATGGGAAGAGACTATTTTCAAGGGCCTGGAGTGACAGGACAAGGGGGAATGGCAGAGAGTAGGTTTAGGTTAGGTATTGGGAAGAAACTCTTCCTTGTGAGGGTGGTGAGACACTGGCACAGGTTGCCCAGAGAAGCTGGGGCTGCCCCAACCCTGGGAGTGTTCCAGCCCAGGTTGGATGGGGCTTGGAGCAACCTGGTTCTAGTGGAAGGTGTCACTACTTGTGGCAGGGCATTGGAACTAGATGATCCTTAAGGTCCCTTCCAACCCAAACCAGTCTGTGATGAAACGGGTGCCAGCACCCCAGCAGAGCAGGGTGAGGAGGCTTTCCTAGGCACCTTAGTTGCTCTAACTCTCAGCCTTCCCTGAGTGCTGTGCTCTAAACAAAATGTATTCCTGTGCTATTGTCAGCTCCTGGATCAGAGTGGTTTGAAGTCGGAGATCCGTGGGGGGTTTGGGAGCTGTTAGAAACCCGATCTGGGTCTTTGAACAGCCGCTAATCCACCCCCTGCCCAAAGTGGGGTCAGAGTGACAGATGTTTCCCACCACTTGTAAAACCTCCAGGAACAGCAGTTCCTGTCCCTCCCCAGGCAATCTATTCCTACTCTTAATTATCCTTCCTGTGAGAAGGCTTTGTCTAATGCCCAACCTCAATCTCCCTGGCTACATTTGAAGTCTGTGACTCCTTGTCCTGTCTCTGGGGGATACAGAGTGGGCTGTTCAGTTCCTCATGGCTGTGTGTGGTGCCAGGGGTGGGCTGTCACCTGCGTGGGCACTGCCAGCAGTGTGGCACATGAGCTGAGCTCACCACCTGCCTGCAGCTGTGCTGGATGCTGCTGCTGTCAGCATGGATTCCTTAATGACTCGTTAATTGAAAATCCTGTCCAAAATTCACTGACCGGTGAGCTTTGAATCTTGGGTTCAGCTGTGGTAAAGTCACCTGGGGCTGGCCTCCCCCACAACGGGGTCCTGGCTTGTGTTTGATCAAAATGATAATTACAAATTAGCATTAGCACAGCTTCCTGGGAGTTTGCCAAGTTTCCTGATGATCTCTTTAGTTGCAACAATGGGGAATTTTTCACCCAAGAGCTGAAGAGCAGGATCAGGAGTTGCAGCTGCTCACAGTGAATGCAGGTTTTGAATGTTTTATATGTATGTTATATAGAGCTTTGTATAAATAATATCACTTAGACACAAAGGTGATCACGTTTTGCAGCTGATAATCAGCACTTGCAGTGCTTGGGGGGGAAAGCTGTAAGGGAGGAATACATGGCAAGGTGTGGTGGTATAAACTGGATTTTTGTGAGAGCCTGATTGTTTTGTGTGACTTCACTTCCTAAAACTGTTCCACTTGGTATCCAGCCTGTACCTTCCCTGTGAGGTGCTGAGGCACTGGCACAGCTTGCCCAGAGAAGCTGTGGCTGCTCCATCCCTGGAAGTGTTCCAGGTCAGGTTGGATGGGGTTTGGAGCAACCTGGGCTGGTGGAAGATGTCCCTGCCCATGGCAGGGGGTGGAAGGAGATGAGCTTTAAGGTCCTTCCAACCCAAACCATTCCATGGTTCTATGATACTCCCTGTGAGGTGCTGAGGCACTGGCACAGCTTGCCCAGAGAAGCTGTGGCTGCTCCATCCCTGGAAGTGTTCCAGGTCAGGTTGGATGGGGTTTGGAGCAACCTGGGCTGGTGGAAGATGTCCCTGCCCATGGCAGGGGGTGGAAGGAGATGAGCTTTAAGGTCCTTCCAACCCAAACCATTCCATGGTTCTATGATACCCTCCAGATTTCCAACCCAAACCCTTCCATGGTTCTATGATATCCTCCAGATCTGACTTCAGGGAGCAACAGTTTGCAGTGTGAGAGGGTCAGACATTGGCACAGTGGGAGAATGCAGGGCAAGGGGGTGGAAAATGCTGCTGGAGGACAGAAGAGGAATGAATGAGAGGAGTTAATACTGTCCAAGTAAGCAGGCAGTCAGCAGAAGGAAGAGCAACAGAGCTCTTTTTCTGGGAAAGGCTGAGAGAAAACCAGACAGTCCCTTCTGCTAGAAGCTGCTGTGTTTGCAAGTTGTAAAGTCTGAAAATCAGAAAGATACTAAAAATGAGGTTTAGCAGTTTTCTTAAAGCTGTAAACCAGCTTTACTCCTCTCCCCAGTTGCATTTTGCAGTCTCCTCCCCTGCTGGCTTCACTTTCTGGGCCGTGCTGGTGTGGAGGGGCAGCAGCAGCGATGGTCTGTGCTCCAGCGCCGCCTTTCCTATCCCCTTCGAGTGGATGCAACAGCAGTCGGTTAGGAAAGCAGTTATTCTTGGAAAAGGGACTTAGTCATAGGTCTCTGGAATTCACAGATGAGGAGGGAGTCGTGTAGACACACGGTTGGTGTTTGCTTTTGGGTTTACTCCCTCTGTTGCATACTCTGCCCCTGCCCTGGAACATCCGGCACGGAGGAAGTGACTTAGTGGTTCTTGCAGCAGCAGTTTGACATTCTCCATCTCCTGCTGACGCAGCCTGGAAAGTGCTTGAGGTTTCTCTAACTGCCCTTTCATGGTTTCGTTGAGAACCAGTTGTTTCTGCTCAAGGAGGGTTTTCTTTTTTCCTGGAATGATGCTTGCCTGGGGCTGGAGGTGGAAAAAAGCCCAGGCCATGCTCTGTCTGCCTGAAGCATCTCAGGTAATCACCTGAATTAAATTCTGAGAAACCAGAGTAGAGGCTCTGGAAAGTTAACATGCTGCTCTGGCAGCAGCTCCCTGCCTGTGGTCTGTCAAGCTGCTTTTGTGCTGGGGAAATCCCACTGCTCCCAGCTCTTTGTCTCTGCCACCAGTGTGATATGTTAATGCTCTGTAGTCGTGTTCCTTGAAGCTTAAATGTCTCAAGGTTTGGCTCATTTCGAACTTCTCCCAAGCTGCAGTTGTTTCACTCAGCTTCAACTTGCCCAAACCTTTGTCTGATCTGCAGTTTGCTGCCTGAGCAGATGGATGAGCTCTTGTGAAAGTCTGGGAACTCTTGAATGTTCTTTTATGCTTCTTTCTCCCTGTTTGAGTCACTTCAGAATCCCCTAAAACAGGTGCAAGAAGTGATAGGAAAAATGCTTTGCTTAATGTTTGTGCTGTTCCCATTGCCCAGTGAAGGGGACAGGGGGGACAGGCAGTTCAGTGGTGATAACACTGAAATAATCCTCTTGCTTGTCCTTTCCTGTTCCTCTGCCCATCCTGTGCTCAGAAGCTAATCTCCATTCCTTTGCAGCATCTTGCTTTGCTCTACTAATCCACTTTTTTTAAAGGTTTGGATGTTCTCCTGACCCAAAATAATGAAGCCAATTCCCAGTGCAGTCCTACACGGAGCAGTTTAGGACTTGTTGAAACCCAGAACAGTTTCATGGCAGAGCATGTCACTGACTTCTTCCCTGTAGGAATTGTTCTACCTCTGTTTTAAAACCCAAAACAACAAAAATCCCTGGCCCACAGCCATGCACTTGGATTTCTAGGAATGTTGCAGTGACCTGGGTGTAAAGATCTCTAATAGTGATCGATAGTGACCTGTGAAAGGTTAACTGTTTGTCTTTTGTGGAAAAGCAGTCAATGGAAATGCTAAGGGAAATTTGGTTTGGTGCTTTCTCCCTGCCCAGGCTTGGGATAATTGGCTGGTTGCAGGGATTCAGGAAGGATATCCTATGTGAAAACCAGTCCTGCCCAGGGTGCTCTGTGGTCACGTTTGCAGGTGAGAGGAGACACTTTGTGTTGGGCCTCTGAGTGTTGAGTCAGGCTCAGCTGTGCAGGATGGGGTGGAGGTTTCGTGCCCCAGCAGCCCCAGAGCAGCAAGGTGGGATTGGCCAGATTGGAGCTGTCATTTCCGGATCTGTGGTGGTTTGTGCTCCAGCTGACACTGCTGGTCACAGCAGTATTAATAGTGGCAAGTGTCACTGGCCCCTGAGAACATGTGATTTAAGGGAAAACCAAGGGGTGTTACGTGAGGCTGTTTCACAGTCACTGTAGGACAGAAGTGCTTTCTGATGGATCATACAAAGCTCTTTTTCTCTTCCTAATTTGCAACTTCAGAGTAGAGGAGAGGGAATATTCCCTATAGGATGGACTAGCACTTTTTTCCTGTTCCAGTCATGAGTCCTGCATTTGCTTTGGCTTTACCCTGTCCTACAGGACAGCATTTCTGACTGCAAGATTCTGATCCTGGATAGATTCTGTTTCCTGTGGCAGCAAGGGAATGCTGCTTGCACTCACACAGTTCCTTTCATCCCATGATCCCAAGGCTGTTTGCTCTTTTCTGCTCCAAATCCTGGCAAGAGTGAAGTTAATTGATTGATGCACCAGGACAGAATTTCCTCGTTGTCCTCTTCAGCAATGCACATGGTTTCTCTCAGTTTATTTCCAGGCTGTTTAAATCCTGTAGGTCTGTGTCCACGCTCATGTACTTTCCCAGAAATAAAGGAAACAAACCATCCTGCTTATCCCAGTGGTTTGGCACTGCCTGTCTGACATAAGGAGTGCTTTGTGCTGATGGTATTTTTAAACCAGCACTCAGGGATTTTTGGTTGTGTTCTAGCTTTGTGTAAAGGCAGGAAAAAAACTGCAGGGGAAGGCTGAGGTCTGACCAATGCTCTAATCCATGTTTTCTGCTGGGAGACAGACTTGGTTTCCTCATCCCTGAAGCAGGAG